GAACGTGTCGTTTCATGTCATAATCTTGCCTGTGATTCAAATACATGTGATTGGTCAAAATTTTCAAGTTTCGATGACAGCATGGAGCGATTACAAAGTGAACATATTTGAAATTTTCATCCGAAGAAATCTTATTAGAAAAAGGGTGTATTATATTTTGTGTCAATGATTCAATTTTGTAATAAAATTTAATATTTGTTGATTTTTGGGCTTAAAGTTTGTTATCAAAAACGATAATATGTGCAGTGGCGGTAAAACTTTTCGAAATATTTGTTTGTGATTTTCTACCGTTTTTCTCGTAATCGTTTTATAATTTTAGCTTTTTTTTAATAATTATTTGTTTTTGGGCTTTTAGTAGTGGGCAATGAATGACGAAGACATTTCGACACTCCTGGTGGCGGTTGAAAAACGGAGAGGTGTCAGGAGATTAAATGATATTGACGAGGACAGATTAGATTACTACGATAATGTGGGTGAGTGGCAAGCAGACCTTGAAATAGAGGAACAGATTCAAGAATAACAGATAGAAAATGATGAAACAGCCTCTGATCCTCCTCTAGTTTTTGAAGAACAAGGCGAAAATTAGTCCCATTCCTACGCTACTCCTGGTTAGCGGAATTCGATATGGAAGAAAAAGAATTTGACTTTACTCGTAGTCGAGCAGGTGTTCACATTTCTCGGATCTAACGACTACCCTCTAAATATTATGAATTTATCTTCACCTTATAAATATTTTTCCTACTTTTTTGAGGAAAATATTCGAAACCAATCACAGTTCTTGAACTGAGAAAATATTGGTATTTTGATATACGGTATATCATTATTCAAATATAAGATCCTACTGGGCAAATAATGTAAGATTCAGTTCAATGGCTGATGCAATGACTATTAATCGTGTTAAGTAAAGTCGCTTAATACGTTATTAACATCATGTATTTTATTAACTGCATAAAATATCACAAATCTAAACAAGGTTATAGATACCTATTCATAATAATAACAATGTACATTTTAGACACACAGAATAACAAGGTATAACAATAATTATTATTACTCACAATTTATCTTCCGTGTACGTATTCTCTACTCAACAGTTATAGAAAGAGGGTATAACCCAATAAATACGGGGTGGGGGGTTATGTGGGGAATTTTACCAAAAAAAATGGAAAATGGACCGCCCAGAAGCCGACGACATCTGTCTTTTATAGGCTTGTAATTTAACAGTGCTAAACTACAGATGGCGTTGCTTGTGTGGTTTCCGTTACAAGTTTTTATAAAATTGGATATTAAGCCGTAAGTTTTTACATTATAAAACATTATTTATATATCTTATAATTATCTAAAAAGTTATACATTCTAGTTATAAATATAAGCAAAAATAAATAACTAGACATAATCTAAAACATTAATGTACCCGCAGACTTTATAGTATGAAAATAATTAATTACCCACCATGTTAGTTACAACAATATAAATTATTAAAATACGCTAACAGATTCGGCCATCTGACAAATTGTGTGTCCTCGCACAATTAAACAACACTTTTTGAACCCCCTCTAAGTGTTTCATAGCCCTCTTGTACAGAACACCATCTTAACATTTATATCTATAGTGCAGGCCCATGTCCAGAACACCATCTTAACATTTATAACTATAGTGCAGGCCCCTCTTGTCCTGAACACAATCTTAACATTTATAACTAAAGTTCATGCCCCTCTTGTCCTGAACACCATCTGAACACATAACTATAGTGCAGGCCCTTCTTGTCCTGAACACCATCTGAACGCTTATAACTAAAGCATGCCCCTCTTGTCCTGAACACCATCTAAACACCTATAACTATAGTGCAGGCCCCTCTTGTCCTGAACACCATCTGAACGCTTATAACTAAAATGCAAGCCCCGCTTGTCCTGAACACTTACTAAACTAAGGTGCAGGCCCCTTTTTTCCTGAACACCATCTTAACATTAATAACTATAGTGCCAGGCCCCTCTTGTCCTGAACACTATCTGAACACAACAATGCAAATTACAGCTTTGGTAAAACAAACTGGATGAAGCAATTTCAGATTCAGATTAGGATTCACTTTTTCAGTCATTTAACATCGTATCTCTGAAAATTTGGACACGGTTTTATCTTATCATCTGCTACCGCAGCAAAATAATTTTTATAATTTATTTGCGGTATCTTCGACTTAATACCGGTTATGATTTTATAAGGACCTTTAAACTTAGGTATAAGTTTTTTTTGTTTGCCATTTCCGGTAGCGAAAATTTGTTTCTTTATTCTTATGAGATCGCAAATTTATATTGAACGGATTTGCAACGAGGTTTATCAAAATAACTCCTTTGCGCTAACTGGCAAGAACTAATATGGGAACTTTAAAAAAAATATTTTTAAAGACAATATGCCCGGTGGTGCATTATGGTATTGTAAGTCACGATATGGAGCAAAAAAATGACGTGATTTCGGATTATTATCGTAAGAAATTTACCAAATAATCTCTAAATCTTATTATTTTAAGTAGATTGTTCTAAAAAGAAAAAAATTGTGATAAGCGCCTTCTGCTATTGATGACGTGCCTAAAATTTTTACCTTATATTTAGTAGCATCACCTAATGGGGAATAGCTAAAATGTTTTCCAAATAAATATTCAGCGTAGTATTGCTATGTTTCACTAGAGGGCGTAAAATGCGCGAGCTCACGGTTTTTGTATGCAAATGTTCCCAATGTCCGCTCTATAGTGTATATTTAAATATTTTTTTATCTAAGTTATTCCTTTGGATCTATAGTCCGTTCGCATTAAAAAAATAGTGAGTCATCTTTGTCCGCCGGCCTGGCCACGCCCCCCAGCCAATTAAAATGCAAAAAAGTTGAAGTCAGGCCTTCGAACAAATTGGTTGTGTATTTTGCGTGTTACTCGTTCAACATTAAATTTTGAAAATGAATACCACACCTATTCGAAAGAATAAAGTGGATCAATAATCCATAGCGGAGAGAGACGCGTAATTTACAATGTTTATAAGTACTTTCAAATTCATGGACATGACTTATTTAAAAAAGGAATTATTAATGAAAGTTGCCGTAGTCGCCCCACAATATAATAAATATTTAATAGATGCGACTGCCAAAAGTAATGGCATTACAATTCTTCACCTACCGCCTTACCATTGCAAACTTAATCGAATTGAATTAGTTTGGGCTCAAATAAAAAAATTATGTTGGTGCCAATAACTCCACGTTCAAAATGAGTGACATAAAAAATATTAGATGACGCAATAGCATTAATAGACGCTAATCGTTGGAAGAAGTGCTGCGACCACGTGATATGCGAAGAAAATACCATGTGGAATTTGGATGACATCATGGAACTTGCAGAACAATATTCTTTCATAATTAATGTAACTGGAGAATCTAGCGATACTGATTAGTAAAGTAAAGTAAAGTTACAGCCTATATACGTCCCACTGCTGGGCACAGGCCTCCTCTCATTTCTGAGAGGGTTTTAGGGCAAGGAATAGCCCGCCGCGCTGCCCCAATGCGTGTTGGCGAACTTCACATGTCTTCGAAATATATTTTTTTTCTTATTTCTCAGACATGCAGGTTTCCTCACGATGTTTTCCTTCACCGCCGAGCACGTGGTAAATCAGCACTTAAAATTGCAATTAACAATTTCATTGGTGCCGGCGGGGATCGAACCCGGTTTGCTCGCGTATTGTGAAATTTACAGCGAACGCTAACCATCTGAGCTACCACGGCTCTACTGATTAGTAACTTATTTAATACTTATTATTTATTTAAGTAAGTTTAAGAAAATTTGTTTCCATTAAACTTAATTAAATGTTTGAAAAAAAAAAGAATTTTTACTCCACGACGACTCACTATTTTCTTAACGCGAACGGACTATAGGTTATAATTTGCTCTTATGGCTATCTTTTGCAAAACAAAGATTGTCAGTTGCATTACCAAATATAAAGACTTTCATTATGAAATTATGCTATGAAAACAACTAAAATAAACAAATCTAGCTGTTTCAAAACATGTAAGGCTTCTAATCTATTTTACAGCTTCTTTCTTACAGCTTGTACTAGGTTTGGTAAATATATCGAGTAAGTGCATCTATCAAAACTAAAATATGCACGAAACCTATACTACTAATTACGAACGGTTTAACATGATCGACATGGATTTTGTCAAAGAGATTTTTTTAATTAAAACTCGGGGTTTCTTACCATCGGACAATTAAGAATAATTTTTTAGAACCAGTAGTGTGATTTTCTACGAACTAGAATTTTATCCAACTCAAAGTGTCGTGATTTAGCTTTACAATCTGTCATTTAACGCTCTTAGGCAAAACCCACTTATAGCCCTCTGCAGTTTATCAAAATAATTCGTTTTAATTTGTTCTCTGAAGTAAATGTGCTTACAGTCAGACAGCTATTTATTTTAAAATCTGTACTTAAACACATAAGAACAATAACTGTAACTTAAATTTATTTCAAGACTAAGAAGAAAAGATCGAACTATACAATTACCAGATAAATTTTACTTATTCTTTGCTCAAAGACAAATAAACTTTTTGGAATATTATAACGATGTATACGCTAACGCGTTTTAAATGTAAGCAAGCTCTGACAAGTTTTTAACGTCTTTATCTTACGAGGAACTGAAAACTTATTAAATATAGATAGCTAAAAATGCAAACTGTTTAAGCAAAATAACAACACACACTCATTTACTACACACACTGGCATCTACCCATTAATTTTACACTTTGTCTTAACTTGTAATATTGGTTACGATTAACAAATTACCAATAAAAATGTACTTTTTACATATTTTATTTTGTTTCTTTTTAAAAAATGTAACAAACCTAGGAAGCTTAGCTAACATTACTTAACATCAGATGGCAATGCGGACAATAATTTAGATTGCCACTTTGACCAGAAAAGAATACAAGTGAACTTCGGAAGAGCGAAGTGTATTGTTTGTCGCTCGCTTCACCAACCATAAGTAATTGGTAGCTCCTTCCTAGCTGGGCCATACTGCGGTATGCCATTATTAAGTGAACATATCCTATCTGAATCTGAAGCCGTTAAATATTTAAATGCATCCATTAAAAGCTTAAGACTTTTGTCAGAATTGTACATTGTGGGCTCATGAACGCTGAAGTTACCTTGCATTCCGGTTTTGGTGCAGCTATTACGTGGCGATTTGTTTCGTTGAGGGTTGTCAGGAGAACAGCTGAACTGACCACCCATTAGATCACACGACGTGCTGCGCAGAGAACCAACTCTTTGATGTTGGGTGGATGGGCGATTACCACGCTCGTGGTGATCGCTGGGCTGACGCTGGGCTGCAGTGACGGTGTAGTAACTGGCTGTAGGACAGCTGCTAACTAGCTTCATATGCTTATTAAGCGATGGCAGTCGTATGTTGGGTAGGTTGGAGTCAGGGCTGGTGTCAAGGCCGCGTCCGTGGCTAAGGCCACAACTGCGGCCGCGGCTTCGGCTTCAGTCTAGATTGAACGTAACTGTTGTTCCGAACACGCTTCCGCAATCAAAGTAGACTTCGTACGTTTAAGATTCTCGAAACTGAAACAGAAATAACAACCCACGAGAGAAGTTGATCTGTTTTATTCGAGAGGGATAAACCACTACGCACGCGTGCAATAATAGTATTGTGCCAATAATGCGCCATATAGTGTACCAATAACGTCGAAAAAAAATACAATGTATTTAAAATAGAAATAAAGACAAAAGGATAATACAAGTACACCACAACAATACATAAAAGTCTTAAAACCATTTCAATATGTAACATATTATATAACATTTAGCTATTAGCATTTATTTATTCATATGTAAAGAAGGAATCCTGCACATTCTATTAAGCATACTTGGCTCACGTGTGAGATTCAGCGTAGATAAAGTTAATAGGTACTCAGAGGAATGTATATTTAAGCAGAAAACTTTTTATATCTGTACAATAATTTGCTTTTGAAAGCGTAAAATAGCTTGCTGAATATACGGACTCGAAATTTGAAGGATTCGCATTCGAAGTTCGAACACTAGTATTTGTATAATGCGTAAAGAAAATTACTTACATGAACATAATACACGCATGGCTAGAGACAAATCAATGGTGTGACAATGCTGTGACAATGGTCTATAATCAAAGTAACGGGTAAAAATCAGTCTATTGGTTTACATTCAGGACAAACGACTGCCTGATGTTCGTCACAAATACGCCTACATTTGCTGCATTGTTAGCGCGTGCTACGGTCACGAGCCCTGCTGTAAAAAGCACATCGATCCAAAGGCATATTTTGTTGTAGGGGTTGTTCTGCCAATCTTAGAAGTAGTCTGCCTTTCAGTTTAATACCTCTGGGTATATTTTGTTGGGATATACGACGCTCAATAGAAGGTCGTGCAAGATCAAATTCAACATCTAGGAGGTATTGACGACGGATCAATTCCATTTGATGGTTGTTCATCTGATATATCACCAAACTATTTATGCCCGCCATGTTTAAAAAATTGTATAATATCGTGAGAGGCCATCGGTTACTGTTGCGAGAAACGTCATATTGTCTACACACTTTATCAAAAATATCCACGCCGTATTTATTCGTGATTATAAAATGTGATGATTTCAGGTTTTCTAGCATCGCCAGTCGCAGCATCAATTTTATCATCATTGTAGAGGGTAGACAATAACAATACCCGCTCCAAATGTCGTCGTATTCATTATCCTCCAGCAGCCATCTTTGTATTTAGTCGCACAATCTGATCGAGTTACTCGTCACCTAAAAAAGTGAACAAAACAGTATAAAGCTACATGAAAAATCTACAAATACCAACAACAAACACTTAAAAATTAATTAACTGTACATTTTGTAGTAATACTGTAAGAAATGTGTCATATTTACCTCAATTTCACCACTTGCACACTAAACACTTATTTTCCTCCAACGCTCGCGCGGGCTACAGGCGCAGCCTAACAACTTCAAGGACGATTTTTGCGGACATCCTTGAGCGGGGGGTAATACTTGAGGAATACACCTAGACGATTGCGCTCTAGTGCGGCAAGTTAAAATGATATACGACAATATTACATGCTGGGTTACATATGTAGCTCGCGCGTGCACTCTAGTGTTAAGTAAAGTCGTTTAATACGTTATTAACATCATGTATTTTATTGACTGCATAAAATATCACAAATCTAAACAAGGTTATAGATATTCATTATAATAACAATGTACATTTTAGACACACAGAATAACAAGGTATAACCCTTGATTTACCACCCTAATTAAAATATCACTTATGACCACCATGAGTCCCCGGCACTCATGTTTTAATTTTTTAAGTCCAAGTTACTAAGGATAGTAAAGAAGTTCAAAAGAACAGAACTTGAGTTCTTCAGTCTCGGAGCATTCGGAATTGGTGTTCGTGATCACTCACAATATAATCGGCGTCCTCGTTATCAGAATGTGGCTCACGAATACATTCAGCTGCATAGCCGCTGCCATGCCAATCTCCTCATCTTCCCCTAGTAAATCATCTTCTTGCAGCCTCATTCAAGAAAAGAAAAGAGCTTACTCCTGTCTAAAGGGCCGGCAACGCACCTGCAAATCCTCTGGTGTTGCGGATGTTCATGGGCGGCGGTAGTCACTTAACATCAGGTGAACCGTATGCTCATTTGTCCCCTCTTCTATGAAAAAAAAAGCCATTCATTTATGATATCTGAGGCTAAATCACGTTAACGTTAAGATGCCATAGTGAAAGGCTACAACAAAATTAACATAGATAAACAAAAAAGTCAGTAAATCCATTTTTGTCACACAACACTCCACCATGAGTCCCTAGGACTCACACTTGATCATATTTATTTTTCCGAACGACGTGAGCACGCGACCGCTCACTTCTGCGCTTGCACCTCACCGCAGGAAGGTACTAGAAAGTGCAAGTCTAAACTCTAAAAAATAAACTATTTTTTTGTTGTTTAAAAGTGGTGGTGAGTCCCGTGGACTCAGGGTGGTGCATTAAGGGTTAACAATAATTATTATTACTCACAATTTATCTTCCATGTACAATATAGAAAGACCGCCCACAAGTCGACGACATCTGTTTTTTATAGGCCTGTAATTTAACAGTGCTAAATTACAGATGGCGTTGCTTGTGTGGTTTCCGTTACTAGTTTTTATAAAATTGGATATTAAGCCGTAAGTTTTTACATTATAAAACATTATTTATATTTCTTATAATTATCTAAACAGTTTTACATTCTAGTTATAAATATAAGCAAAAATAAACAACTAGACATAATCTAAAACATTAATGTACCCGCAGATATTATAGTATGAAAATAATTAATTACCCAGCATGTTAGTTACAACAATATAAATTATTAAAATACGCTAACAATCGTTTTGAGAAAATCCTTTTGATCATAGGCTTTCATTAGATGAGCAGATGGGCGCCACAAAAATTTCGCATTTTATGAAGCAGTACTAGGGCTTCAAATTGTACGTTCTCGGTTGTCTGATGGGTTACGCATATTCTTTTGAAATTTACTCAGTAGTTTCCAATTCAGTGGCCCCTTTGCTTTTACATGTACCGAGAAAAGTAAACCACATAGTTTATTTTTGATAACTTTTATTCAAACTTGCCTTTGTTTAATTTTTTGTACAAGGAAGGCATATATTGCTTAGGAACAGTCCAAAGGAACAGATTAGGAAGAACATGCAAACTACCAAAAACGACGTACGACGAGAATGTTGCTTCTCTTGATGGTGTTGAGTTTGCAGCAACTAGGTGGAAAGATAACAAATAGGTCTTGCTGTTATTTACGTATGTAGGGGTAGATCCTGTTGGTACTATTGGCTGCTACGACAAGAAGCAAAAAAAGATAACGATACCATGCCCCAAGCAATTCAAGAATATAATACAAATATGGGGGATAGTAGATAGTAGGCAGTAATAAACAGCTGGATTCTATACAAAAAAAAAAGTGGCACTGAAAATGGAAACAAATCCCAAAAACATATTGAAACTTGCTGATTTTCAGATCCGTATCTCAAAATAAAAGAGACCCTACTTGAATAAATATGAAAAAAAAAAAGAACAAAACTTGGTGCACAGATATTACCGCCACATGACGTTCGTAGGTCGTACCGATGGAGTTGGACATGACAAAAGCTACATCACTAAAAGAAATCAGTGCAAATATACAAATTGCAAAAAATTTACTTTTGCCATGTGCACCAAATGCAAAATATATCTTTGTGATAATAGAAAAAATAAATAAATATAAATGCTCGTAATATTTTTAATATTTTCATCAGTGATTTCGCGCGCAATCTTTAAATAAGTACTTAAATTCAACACTTAATTTAAATATTTGTAAAAACAAAGTCATGTCGGAAGCAAAAAAGAAGAGGCGGAAATATAGTGCAGAATATATTAAATATGGATTCATAGAAAATTCGATAAATTCATCTCTGCCTTTGTGCCTTCCTTGTTCAAAACATCGAACTGTATTACTAGCGTATAGAAGACGACACCCCGAACCAAAAGTTTGCTTCATTTTGGTAAGAGTTATATAACTAAAGTTCGCTGCAGCGCTAAAATAATAGTTACGTAGTCTCACCAAACTATTAAAACATGCAGCGCTAGTTAGGATTAGGGATTAGTTTTCTCGCGACCAAAACGTCGTAATCGCCATTCGCCAGGAATTTTATGGCGCTTACGCGTATCGTTCAACGTAGTGTACAAGTCGCTCCCATAGATTTTACATTTTGCCCGTTTCTCGCGAGCATTGTAACAACGTGAAAAACTTTAAATCAAAGAGTTTTAAACGTTTTGTTGTAAATTCGTCTAATATCGTTGTAAATGTTAAACCATCACTTTTTTAATGTTCTGGAGTATTTACTACAGGCTTTAAGATCACAACCAGGCATTTTGAAGTTGTTATTTATGCGAAGCAAACACGATTCGTCTGTGCGGGCGTTGGACATTCACTAAACAGTTGCGGTACAGTGTACCGCAAAGCGTGGCGCAAAATCATGCAAGGCGTTGTCTTCTCTCTACGTAGTAGTAATACCTCAATGGTTCAAAAACATTTTCAAACGAAGCGATGAAGCGTTTAAGACTTCAAGATCATTTAAATAAAATGCATCCAGATAAGAAGGACAAAAATGTAACCTATTTTCAATACATTTTTCGGTGGTTGCTAAGCAAGACGATGACGGACTTCGAGCTTCATACAATATCTCTTTGTTACTTGTTCAAACAAGTATACCACACACCATCGGAGAATCATTAATTTTGCTGGCAATAAAAGAAGTTATCACTACTATGCTCCATAAACCGACGGCAGACGTAATTCTAAAAATTCCTTTGAG